AGAGAATGCTTACTACAGATCTTTTGTGTATTTGTTTACTGATTCAATTCCATCAACACTAATACTGTTTCTTAAATAAGTAAACTTTCTAGATTGGAATAATTTTTTAAAAATTATTAACTTTTAAACTTTTAATTATGTATATGTGTGTGTGCCTGTGTGGGGGTATGTACATGTGAGTGCAGGTGCTTGAGGAGCCCAGAAGAGGGCATTGGATACCCTGGAGCTGGAGTTAGAGGTAAGCTGCCTGATGTAGGTGCTGGGAGTCAAATTTGGGTCCTCTGCAAGAGAAGTATGTATTCTTTTTTTTTCTTATTTTATTTATTATTTTTATTTTATGTGTATGAGTATATTGCCTGCATGTAAGTGAGTGCACCCATGTGGCATAGTGCCGTGGAGGTCAGAAGAGGACTTCGGATTCCCCTGGAACTGGAGTTAAGGATGGTTTTAGCCACCATGTGGGTGCTGGGAATCGAACCCGGGTCCTCTGCAAGAGCAGTCAGTGCTCTTAACTGCTGAGCCATCTCTCCAGCCCCAGTATGTGTTCTTAATTCCTGAGCCATCTCTCCAGCCCTAGTTTGGAACAATTTTCAATGTGTGTTAAAGTGGCAAAGTGGGCCAGAGGGTTTTTAAATCCTCCTCATCTAAGATTTTTCAGTGTCTTCATTTTACAAAATTACAATGCATCTGTTAACATTTGCATTGGTGTTGGCACAATGAAAACCTCTTTTCTGTGTGTATGGTGATAGAAGTACCTTTTGGGGGGAGCGGTGAGTTGGGGTTGACACAGGTCTCATGTAGTCCAGGCTGGTCTGGAACTTGCTATGTAACCAAAGTTGATCTTGAATCCCTGATCCTCCTGTCTCTACCTTCCAAATGCTGGAATGACAGGTCTGCACCACCACACCCAGCTAGGAATTCCATTTTAAATTTTTATTTTGTTATTTTTAATTTTATGTGTGTGGCTTTGTGTACGTGAAGGCCAGGGCCTGCAGAGGACAGGACAGAGGTGTCGGATCCCCTGTAGCTGGAATTTCAGGTGGTTGTGAGCTGCCCAGTGTGGGTGCTGGGAACCAACCTTGGGTCCTCGGCAAGAGCAGTATGTATTCTTAATCACTGAGCCATCTCCCCAACTCCAGACTTTCATGTTTTAGTGCACGTGTGTATGTTCATGTGTGTTTTTCATGTGTGAAGGCCAAAGGGAAAGCTCTGATGTCATCTTCAGGAATGGCATCACCTATGACCCTGAAGCTCACCAATAAGTCTAGACTGGCTGACCGGCAATCCGTGTTGCTCCCTCTCTAACACCGTGACTACAAGTTTGGACTAGCATACTGGCATTAATTTTTACCTGGGCTCTGAGGCTTGAAGTTAGGTCTTTATACTGGCAAAGCAAGAACTTTACCTACTGAGCCACACCCCCCACTCAGACCAGGAATTCCATTTTTGACCCCCCAGTTTACAAATGAGCAAATTGACAAATTGACAACTGAGGCTCCTTCCTGACTTGCCTCAAGGTCACACAGGGAGAGGAAAATCAAGCCAGAATTCAAGCCACCGTGGTCTGGCTTCATTGTGTCTCCAAACATTGATTTCCTATTTGGAATGGAAAGACAGAGCCGGGACTCCTTTCCTGCCTCAACCCTCCCTCCCTCCCTCTCTCTCCAGAGAAATCTGAGCATTAAGTAGCACGTTGCTCTCCTGGGAGGCAATGTGATTCAGAAATCAATGCTGTTCATTTCCGGTCTGAAGCTGGGGGCCAGAATTAATCTTAAGGGAAATCTACTTTATTGGGAGAGAGGAGCACATTATGTTGAGTTTGGAGAAATAAAATACATGGAATTGATGGTCTCAGGGGGATTGGGATAAACAGAAGAGGATATATGTGTGCATGTGTATGGCTCTAAGAGATGCTTCCAGAACACAGGGAGTGCAGGTCCAATGGATCTGGACAAGGCTGGGGGACAGAGTAAACCTGGCTGACATCACAGTGAGGTTCCTCAAGCACAGGAAATAGACAGTAAAGAGGGGTGAGGCCCACACTGGAGGAGGCTGGGGTAAGAGATGAGGGGTGGGAGGCAATGGCAGGGTACAGGCATTCCTGTAGTGGACAAGGCAGGCATAAGCAGGTGGCCTTGGGTTCCATCTTGAAATAACTGGCTGTTGTTTCCCGGTGTTGATCCCTCAGTGTGTGGGGTCCCTGGGACCACTTCTGTTTGACACAGAGGCCTTGGAAAAGAGGATGCTAGAAAGAAGTTTTGCTCGGTTTTAACTGTGTTGATGAATGACCCTAGGCCCTTGGAATCATCTGGAATTCCCATCTGGAATTTGGGGAGTCTCAGATTTCATAATAAAGAGCCTCAAAGCAAATATAACTACAAAGACGAAGACCTGAATTCAGAATCTTACTCTACCCCCCGACCCCATGTGTGTGTCTGCTTCCGTTTCTCTGTCTGTCTGTCTCTATCTCTATTTCTCTCTCTCTCCTCTCCCTCCTCTCTCTCTCTCTCTCTCTCTCTCACTCAGAGTTTTTATCCTCTGTAACCCAAGCTGGCCTTGAACTCACGGCTATCCTCCTGTGTCAGCCTCCCCAGTGCTGGGATCGCAGGTCTGAGTCACCCCACCTCGCTCTGCTCTCTTTTTCTTTGCTTCAAATTCAGCCTTTTCAACTTCAGATCAGAAAGATCCTCTAAACTCCCCCGGAAGGGGCAGCTCTCCCCTACAGGGCAAGCAGTGTTCCTGGCATACTTTTGGGTCGTCTTTTTCTCATCATTTTGTAGGGACACGGACCCAGTCTGAGAAAATAAGCCCAAGTGGTGCCTACCGGGGCCTGTCAGCAACTCCCATCCCAGTAGCTATTCCCAGGCTCAGATGCCCCCACCCTAGGTGGAGGAGAGTGTGTGATGGCTAGAAGAGACCCAACTACCATCTGCACATTTCGATGCTAAGCTAGTCACACTTGCTCAATACTTGTAACTATCCTCTCATTAGAGTCCTTCTAACAGCCCTGTAGGGAGGATGGAAGACCCTGCGGTGTACTTAGCAGGTGAGGTCATGGAGAGACTAGGTGGCTTGGCCCAGGGCACACTGCCAGGAGGTGATGGGTTCCATGTTTGAATGGAGATTCCTCTAAGAATCCTGTCTCTATGTTACATTGTCTCACTAAACTAAAGAATGGATTTCTGTAGCTTGGTTGGAAATTTGCCAAAGGGCTTCATTGTAACCCTGTGATATGCCCCTCTCAGTGGCCCCAAACAACATAAAATTTCCTTAAAAAAGGGAAGCTCTTTATAAAATCATATATTTTGAAATGGATTAGGAAAAGGAAAGCCAATTTGCAAGCAGCCATATCTTCCCATCTGATCTGCTAAAGACTGAGTAGGAACTGGCCCCCAGACCTCCTCCCTACCACCGGGAAAGGGATCCTTTTCTTAGCATGCCCTGAAATTTAGCCACTCCCTGCTCTCTGGATGCAGCCTCTGTCCTAGCTGTCTGCAGACACTGACGGCTCCTTGTCAGATATGGAAGGGTTGGGGGAGACTGAAGTTTCAGTACACCGGGGGTCAGAGCAGCCCAGAGACCCCAGTCTAAGGAGAAAGACACAGTGCTTCCTCCCCAGTCACAGTCTGTCCCCACTCACCAGCCATCAGCAGCAGTCCACACATCAGGAACAGTTCCATGGTCCCAGCACCGATCAGAGAACAAAGTTACTGGAAGTCCCCTTCCACGTAGGCAGCCCCTTAGAGCAGATGCACCCACCCAGCCTCCCCCCTCCCAGCTCCAGCTCCTGCAGAAGCGACCAACGCTCCTGCTTCCTCTTTTCTAGAGCTTCAGGATTTTTTCCCCTTGGTTTTTAGTATCAGAATTGCCCAAAGCTTTTTGAGATAAACATTTATCTAGTGAAGGAGATTTGGCAAAACGATTTGGTGGTACAGGAGATGGAACTCAAGGCCTTTCGTATGTTGGGCAAATGCTCTACCCACTCAACTACAGTGTAGAAGATTTGAAAAACATGCAACTTGAAGTTTAGAATCCTGTGAAGATGTAAAACATCATTAGCAACTGGGTTTATGTTACTTTGATTCTATTTTCACGTAGCAGTCACCTATCTATCTTGTATCTATCTTCTATCATTTATGTATATTGCTTAAAAAATTTTTTTTGGTCTTTTTGAGACAGGGTCTCCCTGTACAGCTGTCCTGGAACTCACTATGTAGACCAGGCTGGCCTCAAACTCACAGAGATCCGCCTGCCTCTGCCTCCCGAGTGCTGGGACTACGGGCGTGCACCACAACCACTCTGGTTGTTTCTATATTATTTATTATTTTTATTTTATGTGTATGAGCATATTACCTGCATGTATGTAAGTGCAACCGTGTCATGCAATGTCCACAGAGGTCAGAAGAAGGAATTGGAGCCCCTGGAACTGGAGTTACAGATGGTTGTTAACCACCATGTAGGTGCTGGGAATTGAATCCAGGTCTTCTGCAAGAACAGCTAGTGCTCTTAACCACTGAGCCAGCTCTCCAGCCTATCTATCTATCTATCTATCTATCTATCTATCTATCTATCTATCTATCTATCATCTATCTATCTATCTATCATCTATCTATATCTATCTATCATCTATCTAATCTATCATCAGTCATCTACCTATCACCTATCTATGTATCTATGTATCTATCATCTACCTACCTATCTAATCTATCTATCTATCTTATTTATCTATTTTGTATCCTCTATGGAGTTATCATCTACCTACCTACATACTATTTATTGCTACTTATGAGCATATCTCTTATTTTTCTATCTTTATTCTTCCCTAACTAAATTAGGAAAATGTTTTACACAGTACTTGTTTGTTTGGTTCCCCCCCACCCCCAGACAGGGTTTCATGTAGCTCACGTTAGCCTCAAACTCTCTATGTAGCCAACAATGACCTGGAACTTCTGGTCCTGCCTCTACCTCCCAAGTGCTAGGATTACAGGTGGGTACCACCATGCCTGGTTTGTGCAGTGCTGGGAATTAAACACAGGGCTTTGTGCATACCATGCCTCTCAGCTGAGCTACATCCCCAGCCCCAGTATTTCATTTATCGACATTAGTTGCATGTACGTTTATGTTGTTAGATGCTCTATTGCAGTGCCATTTTGAAAGGCAATCTCACGTTCTGTTTCACCACTTTACTGTCTATGCAATGAATCTCTTATGGATGGACACCATCCATAAGACACTATTATTATTTTTTTTGGTCTTTTTGAGACAAGGTCTCCCTGTAGCCCCAGCTGGCCTGGAACTCACTATGTAGACTAGGCTGGCCCGATCTCACAGAGATCCACCTACCTCCATCACCCGAGTGCTGGGATTAAAGGTGCACGCCACCACTCCCTACACCAAACCATCTTTTAATCATTCAAGTTCAATGAAAGAGAGATGTTCCGACATTCCAGTTCATGACCGACAGTTGCCTCAAGTAGGCAGACTGACTCAAAGGACACCCATGATTGGAAAGCAGTTGACTTGTGTCGGCAACTTAGCCTGCAGGAGATCTGCCCCAGTTTACATGAAAGAGTCCCAATTAGATTGATGGCACTGACCTGGCCAACAGGGGTGGAGCTGTGGCCTGCAGGACACACCTAGGACTTTTGCTGTAAACAACAGAAGTGGGTTCTTGAGGCTTGAAGATGACTGTTTAGGACACAATGCCAGACCACCCTCTTTGCCCCTGGCCAATCAGTTCACCCAAAATCTGTGCCAGCAGGAGTCACTTCTGAGTGTGTGTCATTGCTGTTCTCTCTCTCTCTCTCTCTCTCAGCCTTCCTCCCTCCTTTCTTTCCTTTGCTTTAGATAGAGTCTCACTCAATAGTCCAAGCTGGTTTCAAAGTCAGTGACCCTCCTGCCTCAGTCTCACTACCTCATCAATCAAGTCTTTGTTTCTTGACTCTGTCAACCAAGCAGTCACCTCCTTTGTTAGAAAGCAACATACCAGCAAAACAATTAGCTAGGCACGGTGGCACAGCTTTAATCCCAGTACTTGGGAGTCTGGGGCAGAAGGACTGCTGCAAGTTCAAGGCCAGCCTGAGCTACAATAGTGAGTTCCAGGCCAGCCTGAGCTGCCTTGTCTCAAAACCAAAAGCAACACAGAACAAAGAGAAAAAGAAGAAAAACAATATTCAGCAGCAGGCAAACTTGATGTCTCCATGTATTCTTATAAATGGCTTTGGAGAAATGACTGACGTAAGTCAGCTGTAAGAAACTTGATTGGCAGGTGCCAAGACGAACGTGCCTAGGAAACCAACATGGAGCAGACACGTGTCCATGGCCTGTAATGTTTCCTCTTCCTGGCGCTCAATACTTGCATGTTTTCTTGCCCACGCTGGTTACCCTGCAAGACTTCCAGATCTGGGTTCTTGGCAGGGCATGTGGCCACCTCCCCCATCTGACCTGTCTAGGGCAGGAGGCTCAGCAGCTGGACCCAGCAGCTCTGGTGGATTCCACATGCTGATTCCCTATTGAGAGAAGGCATGTGTTGACGCTGTTCAGAGACCTTCAACACTCCTGCTTCCCAGTTGTCCCCACATGTCTAGCAAAGTCAAGGCACACGGAGGACAGAATTCTGCTAGCTCTGGGGCCCTGGGCAAATGGCTTTGCCACCATGAATCAGTATTCTCATTTGAAAACCTGGGTTAAGTGTTCCTCCCTTCCCTGACCACGGGGAGGTTCAAACTCTAGTGTAGGAAGCCAGACCACATCTAGCCACTTGATGAAGGATGTGGGAAGGTAGGTGGACAGGAGGCTGCAGAATTACACCTGGGGGTGGGAGGCAGAGCTCAGGAGACGAGGTTCAAACCCAGACTACCTGGGTAAAAGAGCCTGGCCTCCCCAACGTCCCAATTGCTCAACCTGGATCAAGTTGCAGACCTCCACCTCTTGCACTTACAGGGTGAGGATGGCACCTTTGTCACAGGACTGTAGCGAGCCTTCTGGCTCTATGTGTGCTGTGGTCTGGGAAGACTTTGAGTGTGTCCCCAAGGGCTCAGGCTTTGGGAGCTTGGTCCTCGAAATGAGATGTTGAGACACAGTTGGACCTTTCAGAGGTGGAGTCTATGCTGGGCAAGGTGGTGCACACCTGCCATCCCAATACTAGGGAGGCAGAGGCAGGAGGATCACTGCAAGTGTGAGGCCAGCCTTGTCTACATAGAAAGATCTAGGCCATCCTAGGCTATGTAACAAGATCTATCTCAAAATAATACAGAGCGAAAAAGAGGTGTAGCCTGGTAGGAGGTCACTCCTGCCCCTCCCTGTTTCAGGATGCCCATCGCACCCTCTTATCTCTCCCTATGGTGGGTGCTCCTTCCACGACACCAGTCACTAAAGTGTGACCCAGCCAAAAAGGCCCTCACCAGAGGAGAGCCCATGGAGCCACCCAGTCTTGGACTTTCAGTCTCCCAAACTGTGAGCTACATTAACCTCTTTTATTTATAAAGTGTCCAGCCTTGGGTCTTTCATTACAGTCACAACAAATGAACTGATCCAATACATGTACAGCTAAAAGTCAAAAAAATGTTAGCTGGGTTTAGTCCCCTCATCACTATCATCATCTTCATCCTCGCCCTCACTGCTTATGACACACAGAACAAATCACTAACCTTTCCTTCTTCACTGCCTAGTCTGCTGTCTGTCAGCATAAGTCTCAGCTCCATAATTTTTTCTCCATATAATTGGATCTGGGTCTTTTTTCATATCTATATTTTTCAGTGTTATATTTTGAAACACACAGGGCATAGCTATAAATTTCAGCCCTGCCATCTGGGCTATTTCTGTAACTTTTTCTTTTGTTTGGTGACTTCTCTAGAATAGATTTCCAGAACTGAAATGGAAGTGCAGAAGACACAAAAGTTTTAAAACTTTTTCTTTCTCTGAAAATCTGCATGGCTTTACCTGCCCCTCCCCCACTTCTACCGCAGCTACAGTGCCCCTGGGTGTGTCCTGACACACAGCCAGTCTGTGTGCTGGTGTCGCTGGTTGCAGCTGGAAAGGTTTTTGCTAAGACTGTTGGGTCACAGTGTAGCTCACTCTCCAGGTGGTGGGTGGGCAGGAGTGGGAAGGAGCCTCGATGCCAGAGAGATGTCATTAAAAATAGTTACCATTGGGGCTGAGAGATGGCTCAGCAGTTAAGAGCACTGACTGCTCTTGCCGAGGACCTGGGTTCAGTTCTCAGCACCTACATGGTGGCTAACAACCATCTGTAACTCCAGTTCCAGGGGATCCAACACCCTCTTCTGGCCTCCAAAGGCATTGCACACATGGGCACTGGAGATATACTCATAAAATAAAAATATAATTTTTAAAAAGTTACAACTGGGGCTGGGAGGTGACTCAATTGATAAATTGCTTGCCATGCAAACATAAAGATCTAAATTTGATCCCCAGCACCCATTTAAAAAAGCCAGGCATAGTGCTGTGCACCTGTGATTCCAGCACTGGGAAGATGCAGACAGGAGGGTCTCAGAGGCTTGTTAACGGTCCAATCTGGCTGAAGTGGAGAGCTCCAGGTTCAAGGAGAGACCCTGTCTCAAAAAAAATAAGGTGCAGGGGCTGGAGAGATGGCTCAGTGGTTAAGAGCACTGGCTGCTCTTGCAGAGGACCTGGGTTCCATTCCCAGAACCCACATGGTGGC